GCGGTATACGCTTTCTCGGGTGTATCTGAGAACCCATAAAGCTGAAAAAATGAATGATTCTGTAAATACATGACGCGGAAAAATCACTTTCGATAAGAGTGGGATCTCATTGGTAAAATTGACCCATGTATTTATATCTTGGGGTGGGTGCTCTTTCCAATCTACATGTGCTGTCCATAACAACTGGATTAAATGTTTATCAAGAATGGTGATTGGCTATACAAGGCCAATTGGGTCATAAACTCTAGCAATTACTGATAGAATCAAGCGCTTAGATTACATTTGTTAAAGGTAATTTGAACATTGAAAGTAAATGAATCTGAATTTGGGTTCCACTGAAGATCGTACACAATCCCCCAAGTACTTTAGTTTTCATATCATTTTTCATCTCCGCAAAAGGTACGTTATGGTACCGCTCACTAAAAGAACTTGTTGGCTGATCCGCAGCGAGTAATGCAGGTTAGTTAATGTGCCACTTATAAAGAGTGAAGCCGGCAGCCTGACATATAAACTCCTGTTATAGAGAAATAATTTCTGCCTCCGTATTGTCACCCAATATTATGTCATACATGAATATGTCACCTTCTATTACTTGAGAAGCACATTGATAACAAGTGGTTTCATTAAGCACAAGCTGTCACGTTCTACGAAGTGCGGGGTAAGGCAAGAAACTAACTTCGAAAGTTACAGTACGAAGACGATAATTGCGTATTGGTTCATCAAAATAAGTGAGCCATACGATACGCTGAAAATCCCATCTGTGTCACCGACTAAAATGTTTCGGTACATCTGTTTAATATCAGCTGTCAAGGCAATAGAATTAATTCAAAACTTTAAAAGAACGTCGATTATATCCAGATGAAGTTTGAGGCCTGAAAATAAAACATCATTCAGGTAGCTCCCGCTGGTAGTCTTACAACCTGCATCGTTGACCACTCGCATTTTTGTTGTTTCGCTAGATTCCTTCACCACGCAGTGGTGCGGAATATAATACGAGCCACCAGATTTTGATGTAAGGCCGTCACAAGGTTTCATGTGACTTGGATCGAAGTACTCCTGTAGGCACGCATGATAACTTTATTTCATTGGTGGATTGCGTTCAAGCTTGTTTGCGAAATATACGAAATCTAGCGATAGCAATGCCACATAAAACTTCGTCGGGAATGAGAGGCCTTTGTTTTGTAATTGATTCCATTTCCCAAAACCGATGGAGATCAAATTCATCGTTAACGGAGCTGTGTAACACTTGATAAGGGAACGAAATTAGGGCCTGAATATTAAAATCTGGCTTTCCCAACAGCATACTGGGTGCCCCAACACCGTGTTATGTGGTCTGGTTGATGTGTAAAAAAATCGGGATCATCCAATGTCAATTTTTAATGTATGACCATACCTCATAAAGTTATTGACTAGAGGGCATTTGTGTAGTAATAAGTTTCAGTAAAATTAAGGCATCGATTTGTACCGAGGGTTGTGTTTTCATTTTTGGTGTCATATAGCACTAAACTAAGCCTTTTGGATAGACGGGTTTGTTTTCATTAATTTCGTAAATAGGAGGAATATTGACATGTTTCTCGTTAAACCCAAATGCTGTACGCATACCTCCCTAATAAAAGAGACCTAGCTTCCCGAATATATGAGACAATGCACGATCGATTGCTTATGATTATTTACGTAAACATCGATGAGTGCTGTTGACAGTAGCACTGTACTTGTTCGTAGTAACGGAGCAGAACTAGATTACGTGCTAGCGTCCCGAGTATTGCGATTTATCGACGTCGTGACCAGCCAAGAATCATTTGACGTAACGGAATTGTACGCTGTGGGAGTAGTCTCGGTAGCACCTACATAAGATTGATTATCGAAATGAATTAGCATAATATGATGATGTTTGTTGCACGTTCGACGTACAAAATTTGATCTGTATTGCTTAACGTCGTATCCAACATGAAAAGAATTAAAGCAAACGTTTTTATCACAAATAAAGGTATAGCGCTCCTTGGGTAATATGTTTAAAAACGTTGGATATTTAGTGAGTGTGTGTTGAACCGCATATACAATGGAAATGTTTGACATTCGGAAATTTGTTTGGAGTATTGAGTATTGCAGACAGAGAATGACTGTGATGTGTTGCTAAAAGTACACGGCGTGCGCCCGGAGATGACGTCGTGCTACCGCCACTGCCAGATGGTGCGTTTGATTTTGATTAACCCTTGTATTTAGTGATCTGACCGAAATTCAAGTGACAAAAAGAAGAGTGTGGTTTGCAAGATGATGCGGTGACCAAGGTTAAGAAAGGAATGCATCGGTGGTTTGGTCATATAATAGAAAGAATGAATGAGGAAAGACTGACAAAGCAAATATATGTTGCAGAAGTGAATGGAAGAGTCGGGAAGGGACGTCCTAGGCAGAAGTTTGTCGACCAATTATACTAAAAATGGGCCAAATTAAGAGTACCCTTAACCAACGAGCATATATGCGTAGGTATATGGATGTGGAAGAGGCGAGAGAGGTATGTCAGGATCGTGCTAAATGGAAGTCTGTAGTCTTTGCCTACCCCTCTGGGTGACAAGTGTGAGTGTTAGTGTAAAAAAGGATATTAGTGTGCCGATATTAGGAATATTTGGTAGTGATTTTGATGATAACTCAAAACGTTTGCGAATAGATGATAGAATTTTTCGTAGTAAAATCATTATAAAATAAAACTCCATCCGTTTGTAGGAAATTTCATGACTTCAAGTGCCTAATTTATTGTAAATGTTAAGTAGAGTTTTTGAAAAAGGAAAAAGATTTTGTCGAGATGAGTGGAAGCTATAATTCTTTTGTTCTCATAACGCGAAATTTATACCTGTAACCTGATTACAGAACAGTTCGCGTCGCTAATGGGAATGGATTTAATTAAATTATTAGGTACATTTTTTTTAAAGAAAGGAGTAAATATCTGAATTTCTCCGCGTCCGTGTAGGCAATATTGCTGTGGACGAGTAAAATATACAAATCATAAAATGAATTCCAGTCAGAACTATTACCTGAGAAAGTGGGCAAGGGAATTTTAGGCAATTTTGGACTGTAGAATTGTGAAAACGATTCAGAATTAAAGAACATACTCATACGCCTGCCTTGTTCATCATTCTGTTTTAATTCGCTCAATTGCCTTGCCTTTATTACACATTTTTCCATTTTATTTTTTGGTGGGCAGTAAGATCTTTAGTTCAAGAACGGAACTTTTGTTCATTGGTGCTTGCAAATTTAAATGTTCTTTTCAAATAATCTAAAATAATATCGCGTTTAAACACATGATGCTCGCATATAACATTACACATAGATTGTTCACCTAATGCTGGATTCGGTATTTTGCGTTGCAAAGACGGCCTATACGACACGTCGACGAAAGCACGTATACATGTTGAATTAAAAAAAATTAATGGTGTGTAAAACTAAAGATAACTCTTTTACTAAGAAAGCAAGATTTGAAAAGAAATATCCAGCTAGAAGGACCAAGAAATAATTATGTTATATACACATAAGGCCTAGAAAACACTCACCTGGGTAACCTTTGAGCTAATCTACGTTTACTGGGCCCGACGTGATGTAACTTCTGGGCAAATGTCTCCACTATTTTCTTTTTCCACATGTCAGGTGTGGAAAACTACCTTAGTATTCGATTAAGCAGGCAAATGAGAGAACGGAACGCGTAAGTATTGTGTACCGTCAAAGAGGAAGTTGGCCGTAACTAGTGGTCGTTTCGGTTGTAGTTCAAAAAGGGTTGCTTGCATCAAAGTTAAAGAGCACTCTTTAACTTTGATGCAAGCAACCCTTTTTGAAAATGTTTATTTGAAAAATTTTACGTAAGACAAAAAGTTTTCCTTTTAAATTGCACTATTTCTAATTATACCAAAACTTTAAAGAAAAAATCATATGTATAACAAGTGATTTCTTATGTGTACGCAAACACCACACATAAAAACTACATGGTTTTAACCGAATCCCTAGTCACGATTTCAGTGTTAACCTGGAGTAGCTTCATCTTTGTAATTATTATTAATGGTCCTATTTACGCAGAATAAACTTACTGTGTCCTGAAGTCTTGCAGTGTTATGCTTGGGTTTAGTTTTAATTTCATTAATAATTGGGTACCAGGATGGTACCCAGCATCCTTCTCTATTGAAGTTAAGATATTTTATAATTTCAATAGCCTCACGTCAAGGGTATTCCTAATCTGACCCATTTTCAATATTTCACCAATTTCGTCGATAAATCTCCGTCTAGGGCGTTTCTTCCCGACAAGCTTACCAGTGGGCCTAGACAAAATCCAAGCGTTTCCCGTGCAAGCGTTTTCCGCTCACGCCAAGGACTTGACGTTAGCGTGTTGAAATTGGTAGACAAGTTACACATGGAACGCTGAACGCCCATTCCGCAGCGTTACCCGAAACACTCTTTAATTAATCTATGGAATAGTGTGTAGCAAGTGTCAATTGCGTCAGCATCCGTCACTGTCAAACGCAAACGCGTGTTTTATTACAAATTATTACAAAAAAGTTAGTGAAGATATTGTAAGAACTGCGATATGGATTCTAGACTTCGTGCCCGTCCCGAACAATTTAGTTTGCTAATAGAATTTATGGAAAGGTAGGGTTTTTTCCAAATGTTTTCATTTATTCCAATTTTTGTTCCCTGTACGCGAACACTACACATTGAAATAATACTAGTTTTTCCGAAATTAAACCCCCCCGCCCCGTGACCAAGGGTGCTGTAAAGTGCTCGAAACGTCGGGTATTTAAAAAGTTAAATATACGCGATAAATTCCGTAAAAACTAGCATCATTTAAATTTTGTTCCCTGTTTTAACTAGTATTGGACCTACTTGAGAATATGGAATGCATAATGTAAATAACCTCACAATGGTGCACTTATATGATCGTGGTTCTTACATTTTGTTATTCTTATAAAGATGAACTCTATTTCAAACCTTAATACTTGTTTCTTAGACAGGGTATTAGAATGTTAATAGCAAACTTTGTTTACTGGCTCTTATTCTCACTGTACACTAATCTTATGATGTTACGTGTAATTGGGGTCACCGCAATTACTGGAAGTCAAGCCATACAAGAAGCAGGCTTTCAAGTAAGAGAACCCTTCATATATTAATGTTTTTTCTTGTTTTGCTGATTTCATAAAAACTTGCATATTTCTGGTCAACAACTGGTTATATTTTTGTACTTAGGAACCATCTCAACCTCAAGTGAGCAATACAGCTGATAGGATACTATCACCAGCAGAAATTGAGCTCTTGGAATTACCATCAGCTGCAGAAGATACACCCATAACAGTGCCAGCAAATGTAACATCTCCACCAGCACATCCTGTCAGTCCTGTGCCACCTTCAAATAGTAGAACTATACAATGAGGTAATTATTACAAAATTAATTTTGTAAAGGTATTTAGATACCTACTACAAAATTATTGAATATTCATTATTATGATTTATTGAAACTACCAACATTATTAAATAACTTCACTGCCACTATAGATAGAACCACCAACACCACCATATTTCGTTAGTTTTCTTTAGTATATTATAGCTTTCATCTGTGTTCTCAGAAAGGTCGCCGGTATCTGCCGGCCCTTCTACACCTCGTCATCGCCTTCTCAGACAGCGAAGACTGCGACAAACACCATTTGACAGAGCCACCAGCGAGTTTGTAGTAATAGAGGAGAATCGGATGCGTTTCCAAAGGGAAGAGGGATGCGCGTCGACACGAGCTTGAAACTGAACAACTCAAAATAGAAGCACAACGTCTGCAACTTGATAGAGAGCGCGTTCGGGTCGAAGAAGTCCGCACCCGCGTAGAGGCAGACCTACGTGACTACATACAACAATTAAATTTAAAAATAACAGCTCTTATGTCCCTATTGGAGACGCGTGATTTGAGACCGAATTAGCATTTAAGTAACGTAATTCATTGTACCCCTAATGTAATTTTATCTGACTGTGCTATGTTATTAATATTACTTATATTTTACATGTTTTAATTTTTTTTAATTTAGACTTAATAGTGCATAGTGTATAATTCTAATAATGAAAAATATTTTAAAGAAAATAAGTACCTTTTTAATTTTGATCTTCTACTTGAAAATGAGATTTTGTTACATTGGTTTCACAAATTACTTATCACATACCATTACACTAACAGCTAAGAAATACTTTAGTACAAGTACTAGACAAAATTAGAATTTAAGTAACATGATATTCTCCCATAAACTATGACATGTATTCCATGCATAATGTAATTAAATTTTATTTGTTTATAATCATATTCATTTAAAGCTAGGTACAAAATATGGACCCTGGGCACAGCAAAAGGATAAAATTAAAATTACAAAAACAAAATTATAACTCATTTACTACTTACTAAATAAAATACAATAAAATTTGGATTTTAATTTCATTAACGGAACATATCTGACAGAAAACCTTGACCTTTAATTTTGATATACCTTCAACTTAGAAATAAGGCTTAGTTACATTGCTTTCACAAATCACATAAGTCCCTAAATTAAAGGAAAATAATAAAAAAAATCATACAACACATACCATTACACACTAACAACTCAGAAATACTTTTAAAGTCTGGATAAAAGATTATTCAGTACTGCCCTGCCTTGGAGTAGCTCACTTTGATCACTAGCAGCACCAACACTATCAGATGCATTGTCAGGTTGAGTCATCATCTTCTTCTACTTCCATAATAGATGTAGGAGGTGAATTGGCCTCTAAAGCCATATTGTAACACACGAAGGCAAGTACAAATTTCCCAGCAACCACAGGATGATAATGCAAGACCTGAGTCTTAATAAACACCTCCAATGTGACTTTAGCAATCCAAAACAGTGCTCTATACAGTTTCTTGCTTGTACATGTCGCTGAGTATATGTATCTTCAACTGAGCTTGGAACTGCATTTAATATGGGAGTCATCAGCCATGGCCGCTGAGGATACCCAGAATCATTTAAAAATACATAAATAAATATTTTCATTAGGTAATAATTATTTGCTACGCAACAATATAATTCTTTGTGAATAAAATGTTTTCAACAAAAGTGTTATCTAAAAATATATCATATATTATTTATTAACCTACCTAATAACCACACTTGTTCTCCATTTTGGTGCAATTCTCGCTTAAATGTTTCCATTCTGCTAGATGCCCATATGAACGAATCATGGGTAGCTCCGCCAAACTTTGGATTTACATTAGTAATTTTTAAATTACTGTTGCATACCTGTTGACGGGAAAAAATTATGGAACATGTATAATAATCCTATGAATATGTTTCTGTAAGTACTATTTAAAGCTATTTTTACATAATTGAGCCACAAACAAATTAATGTAAGCTTACTATTTGTACATTCAATGAATGATAACCTATCTTATTAAAATATAAATGTTCTTCATCTGATTGCTTGACTATTGTCACATGGGTACAGTTTATGCATCCAACTATATCCTGGAGTCTAAATCGCCTCTAAAACCTGTAATTTTGGAAAATATAATACTTAATTTTTTTGTTTTTAAAAGGACAGATGTTCTTACTAGTGTTTTGAACCTAGTGTGCATGAAAGGCTCAATGAGGCATTTTCTAAGTACCTATTGGCCTTAAGGAAGGTATAGTGTTTAGTGTAAAGTACATCAAAGAATATGCTACTAATAAAAAGTATTTCAAGTATGTATTTATACTTAAATACTTTTGTCATATAATAACTTATTCATGTCTTATTTGGGCTTGTTGTTGTTGCGACCTTGGAAACAGAATCCATTTATTTAGAATGGCTGGATGGCTCAATGCTTCAACGACTTGACGTATACACCTACCAGTTGTTCTTTGTACCAAATGCTGCGTTAGTCCAACAATGCGTTGATATGAACCCGTAGCTAAAAAGCTAAGAGTACACAAAATCTGAAACATGATTTCATTGAGAAATGACATTAAGTACTTAACTCTGTTGGAAGGTTTTATGTAGGTACAAAACTTACCTTGATTTCTAAACTAATTTACCGTGTACCTTTTAATGACGTTAAACGCCGAAGATCATCACAAAGACGCCAAAAACTTTGTTTATCTAACCTAAAACCATGAACAAATTCCAATTCCTCCATTGCCACAATTTGCACCATTTAACGACGATTTACTCTTGTTTAACGTCTTTGCAATATTGTTTCATTATCAGCTCACAATAGCTCTCAATCACGTGTCATCTGGTTAGCAAATGTCAACTCCATGAAAAAAGTGACTTTCAATAAGTATTGTTCACAATCTATATTGAATAAAAAAGTTTCTGTTTCTGTTAATATTTGCGTGAAAATTACGCAGTTAAATAAAAAAAATCACTTAACATTTTAAAAAATAAAGCATTTTGTTACTAGAAATGGAACAAATATTTTGACATAATTTGAAGATATCGATTGCTAAAACTTGTCACTCATTCCACACGTCTACATACTGATTTTGTGCATGTGTTATATTTAGCTGCTGTATTTCTCTGTTTATTGAGGTGGTAATCCAAAATCATAACAACACAAAAACAGTTAAAGCTGTTTTCAAAAAATGCAGAATTATTTACATTAAAGTATATTATCCGAAGTTTACCGACTAAAAAGCGCTTTAATAAAGATAGCCATCAGCAGAAAATTTAGTCTCTACTGCAGAAGTTTTTTAAACCAAAAAATATAAACTTCAGCTTTGTTTCATAGCAGCCTTAAACAAAAGTAGGGATAAAATCAGTACACCTAAGTGTGAACAATATTGAAAATGTTCAGGAAAGTATAAACTGGAGTTTAAAACATACTACTAGATTTTATCCCGAAACACAGAATATTTTTTTTATAGTTATACCAAATTAGACTCGTCGGAATCAATGTCTGCGATATGCGGAAAGTATAAATGGAAAGAAGAGAGAAAGGAAAATATTTGATACATAATGCAATATTATCCATCTTTTATGTCTCATGCGGTAAGATTGTGGAACGAGCTACCGAGCAGTGTACGTGCAGCCATGAGCAAGGCATCGTTCAAACGCTTGCACTGGAATCTCTGGCGTTACAGGAGTAGTTTGTGAATTAACTTTTTTATGTCCTTAAATTCTAACTGTTCCCTTTTTCTGTTTTAATTTCAAATATTTTATAGGTGTTTGATTGAGAAACAGCTATAAAAATATGTATGTACTATATATGCACAATATATACACAGGCAGTATTAAGCAAATATATGTATATATTTATATATCTTGTATGTATATCTTTATAGTAATATATGTGTGTAATTACGTTTATAACATGTGTCGCAATATGTAATGCGTATGACTACTTATAGATATTTTAACTCAGTTGCACTTTGTACCCACAATATCTTCCTTGCTTAGCTTGGAGGTAGACTGGTAGAGAATGCCTTGTTACATTAAGTACGCATTTTTGTACTTTTATTTGCAGCATAAATCATGAATAAATAAATACATTTTAATTAAAATAATGAAAACATCAAATCAACACTACATATCTAAGCAGCGCACTTAAAATATATAACACATTAAATATATAATCTACACAGACTTGGGTCTATAACTACCTCTTGCAATAAAATTAAATATCTATATAATTATATCGTGTCAAGAGCATTAAAGATCAGTCACACGATCCACTTACCATCAGATGGATTTTGTGCTCGCTTGTACCTTTTCAACAAAAATAATTGACTTTTGCCTCTGCGATCGTCGATCTGCTTATCATGCGGGACAATTAAGACAATTCTCCCAATGAAGAGACCAATAACCAGCAGTGGACTTTAAAGAGGCTGATGAAGAAGTTTACCTAGTATTTACTATTAGAGTTAAATGTAAGAAATTATTTTTACCCCTGCACCTTATGCGGAGGAATAAATACTGGCTTATCGCTAAAAGGTTGTGGCCGTAGAAGGAAAAGGGGAGATCTCCCGTCGGGCAAGGTGTTCTGCCCGTGGAGCAGCCAACACCTCCTTATGATAGTTCGGATATGTTCTGTATATACTATTTATGATTCGGAATTTTGATAGCGTTATTTAAGCTTCGGTATGTTTCGCTTGCGGCGCAACGACAACGACGCCACAAGGTTAACAGGAATGCGTCGAACGGTCATTCAACGGCATAGTGTAAATATCTGTGTGCCTAGTGCGAGTTAATCGAATGACTTCACCATCGCGCTAACCGAGATAACGTCGTCGGTATCAACAAGCGAAGACAAGCGAGTGTGAGTTACAATCGAAGCTAACCTTACGATTCGCGTTTGCTCACTGTGAATGGCGTTTATTCCTTATCTTATGTTGGTAGCATGTCGGTTCCGTGAGATAAACTAACCAAATTCAGAATGACATTTT